AGCTCTTCAGTTGTTTATACACTGTAATTGTCCGGTGGGACTTAAACATGCAACCTCCCACAATTAAGGCGAGCATATGTCTAGGCAACTTAATTATATTGGTACATTGCAGATCCAAGTACAGTAAAGAAAAACCCCATATAAACCCTACATACGCCCTCAAATATGTTGTTAAAGGATCTGTATACCAGCGTCTTTTTAACGTTCTGTTATCCAGGTATCAAAAAGAACTGGAAGGAAGGACCGACATGGTAATTGTGGAAGTTGGCTTGTTTTCAGGTTTCACACCAGTAGAGGCGACATTAAAGACGGTAGGAGCATTTATATAATAAGTTTTTTTTACATAGGCCTATTCATGTGTTGTTATTAATTTGATTTTCAAAGTCTTTCCCTTAAGAGAGCATGAATAATATCATAATGGAAATGGACAATAGAAATAAAATATAAATATTATAAGTCAAATTATTTTTTTCTAAACCACAACAAGTTATGCGTACTTGCGAATTTTCGTGTGCTGTCAGCTACACTTCATCAGGTAATGAACTGTTGATGTCAGAATCCCAACACGATGGCGTGCATTTCAGTCTTTTAGTATGTATTATACTTCTTTCTTTTATTTGAGATTAATCAGTGAACCTTACGTATTTTGTCAGTTCCGCTACGCAAGTACGTATAATTTATTGTGGTTTAGAAAAGTTAATTCGATTTACAGTTCAAACAATATGAAAGTATTTCAACATAAAATATAAAGAATTTATAAATCAATTTAAAAAATAAATAAATAAAGGTTAATCAATAGTTAATCGAACTATGGCATTGTAAAGTCTGGTATAAATATCTTGATTCTGATTCTGGTAGTTGTAATACGGTTTCTAAAGCGAACAATCCTTCTAATAACCGAGTCTCGAATTTTTATTTATGTAGCAATAATAAAGTGTATATATATATATATGTGTATAATGTCTAAAACCGGCAGCCTTATCTGAAATATTTTCAATTTCAATGTTTCAAGTTAATGGACATAATTAGAAAACGTTATAATATTTAGATATTTCAGATGTTTAACGTTCAAAATTGCAACAACACAATGTAACTATCTTTTTTTTTCATTTTGACTAGAGTTAAGTTAAAAAGAAAGTTATTACTCTCACTCAAAGCATTAATGACAGTATGATCAGTTCGTAAACATACCACATCGCAATGAGAACTTTTATGATCTGTACATTTATTTTCTATAATTTCCAGCTTGAAAAGTCAGAAAATGTACCGGTTGAGAGATATGAGATTTCAGACAGAAAAGTTATTCTATATCTTGAATATGTAAGTAGTATTAATCATTTTAATTAACGTCAGTATCTTAATTGTATAATGACAAAAATGCAATTTAAACTATGTTTGTTATTTCTTACAGTTGGATGCATCAGAAATTGTAAATCTCGACTTTAGAGTTAAGCAATCTTTTGAAATGAAAAACATTCAGTCTGCTCGTGTTGCCGTTTACGATTACTATTTTCCAGGTAATTTGCAGTATTTTTCATAATAATATAATGTTTACGGATATGCTTTCTGGTCTCTGGTAATTAACTACCAAACAACCCCAGCAAAGGTAGGGTTAGTGGTTACGCCTTCTGGCCTTTTTAGTGATACAGTGTATGAAGCATTCAGTGTTATCGCGGAGTAGTTTGAACATCAGTGGTAGTAGTAGTAGTAGTAGCAAAAAAGGAAGCGAGTTAGTAATTCATAATTATTATTATTACCTTATTGTTTTGCGAGTTTGTGTATCTGTCTGTTTGTTAGCAGCCTCATGCCTACAGTTTTAGGCCGTGTGATGTTTATACAGATTAACTGACATTGAATGGAAAGCTCCTTTTTATTTTGGTGTCTATCCAGAGTGGGGTGTAGATATGTAGACCATTTAAAATGAAACGTCCCAGACAAGATATAAAACATAATCATCTGATTTCAATGAAACTTTTTGGAGGAGTTCACCAGGTTACATGGAGGAAATGTTTAGATTTTGGTGACGATCCAAATTTTTGGGGTCATTTAAAGTGCTAGCGTCCCTAAATATCTAAAATAACTGGTCATTGGATATGAATGAAACTTTCTAAAATGGTTTGTCCTCTTCCAGGAAAGAAATGGTTTACATTTTGGTGACGATCCACAGCAGGGTATGAATATGAGGAGCATTTAAAGGGAACTTCCCAACACCTAAACATCTAAACGAAAATGATAAATGCATTTAAAAACCTTTCTGGGTGCGTTCGTTATGGTCAAGGCAAAAAGTAGACCCTTATATTTCATTTATCTCGAAAATTGATCAATTGGTCTGAGTGAAACTTTCTAGAATGGTTTATCATGGTCCAGGGAACAATGGTTGAAAGCTCTCAGTGGTTACCAAATGCGATTTTTTTCGTACGAAATATTTGAATGAAACTCCACAAGGGCCGTCTTGGATTGACTTGACTCGAGTTTGATACAATACTAAGTTTATTAGGAACAAAAGAGCAGGCACTTCACAATGTCGTGATGCTCGAGTATTACTATATCATTGTTCTTTCCATATGTTTACCAACGGTAGGCCTATGAAATCTTACTAATGGGATGTACGTCTGTAACTAACTGTGAGCTTCTTGTATGTTATTAAATGTTTGTATAATACTATCTACATCAACAACAACAACAACAACTAGTACACCTTCTATAAAGTGTAGTACCAGTAGGAAAAAAGAGGTAAACCTAGGCCAACTACAGGATGACTTACCGGTAGGTCCTACCCAGACCCCTCCCTAGACTAGGCATAATGCCTCCTAACTGGGGAAATTTTGGGGAAAAAAATGGAAAAAAACAAAATTGAAGCATGAAATAAAAATGGGACAGTGCGTAAATTATTAAATAATAATAAATTAAATGTACAATTCCAGCATTATTGAACTTGGCCTAAGCCTGGTGATGTAAATTAATGAAAAAAAAAATTGAAGCATGAAATTAGAAATGGAATAGTGCGTAAAAATAATATTATTGAATAATAATAAGTTAAATATATCATTCCGGCATTATTGAACTTGGCCTAAGCCTTGTAATGTAATTAATATTAAATAATAATAATAATAATAATAATAATAATAATAATAATAATTATTATTATTATTATTATTATTATTATTATTCCTTCGCTGTCTTTGTCGTCGCCACCGCTGTCCTCAACATAATCATATTATAATCGTCATTTTCATCGTTATTAGGGAGATTTCGCAACCTTACGAAAACGATAACAAATACGAATACGTCATTATCATTATCATCATCATTCACGCCTGAAACATTATGGACAATAATGCTGTATTAGCATTAGTTGGCTAATCTGGTGGTAGCCGCTATGTGTGCGCTGAACCGTGGAGATTTCTAGGTCCCCGGTTCAATTCCCATCGCTACCTCTCCTTGTGTTTCAGCTAGAGGGCTGAAATACAAGTTACAATAGCGCACCGTCTTTCGGATGAGACGTTTAAGTCGTTGGTCCCGTGTGCATTATGGCCCATGTGCACGTGGGTAACCCCACTGGAAATAAGTCTTCTTCTAGACTTTCGTGGGCTATTCTTGGTGTTTACACAGAATAAATCCAATCCAATGCGAGCTGCATTTGATCCTTGATTAATGCAAAAGGCATGAATCGCCTACGTTGTGGCAGATATGCTACTGTTTGTTATGGGAACGGTTGTCTAAAAATTTAATGACTTCACCGTATCGTTATCTTATTCGTAAGCTTGCGAAAACTCCCTATTATCATCGTCAATATCATCCTCATTATCATCATTATTGTTATCGTTATCATTATTGTTGTTAATAATATTGTTATTACTATTGTTATTTTTGTTATTATTTTTATTATCATTATAATAGTTATTATTATTATCACTATTATTGTTATAGTTATGAATATCATTATGTTATTATTATCAACAAAAAATTGTTCATGTAAAATTATTAGGCTAACAAAATGAAATGCCACAACGAAATTGTTGTTTGTCAAATGTGGTTCTACAAGAAACAATAACAAATATATAATTTCTCTTTTTTTTTTATATATTAGAGAAGAAATGCACTGCATTTTACAATCCCAAAGATGACCAAACTGAGCTAAGGCAATTTTGTACAGCGGATATGTGTGTGTGCGCAGCAGGTATTTATTTGGTTTTCTAATTCTGTTTTTCCAGTAATTATAATTGTGTTCACTACCATGCTATCTTTTAGTGTACCTTATTTAATTCAAACCATTAGAGACGCTCAACAACATTGGCAATTGCTGTTTATGAGCCTTATGCTATATGACAAACTACATCTATAATTGTGCATTAAACTAGGTCTCAAGGAAATAATTTCTAGTATGCAGTATAATATTCCATGTTAAAGCCCCATTCCCGGCAAAATTTCAGTTTTTAAGAAAAATCTAATTTTTTTATAATGTTATAAAGATTTATAAATATAATACGGAATTGCTAGTTTAACTGAATTAGACATTCCTAAGAATGAAAAAAATGTAAAATAAGACTGAAATTTGATTTTTTGTGTTCCACACAAAAAATAAATGCGGATGAATTTTTCATTTTGAGTTTGCGATAGGTCGTGAGAAGAAATATCGTAGGCGCCGAAAACATTAGCCTATCCAGCGCTGCTAGGCTAGGCCTAGCCTTACCTCGATTTAGGTTCTGTTATCACACATAAAAACGGCCGACATGATATTTTCCGTCACAAGCGGCCGGATGGACAGTGCTACAAAAAGATGTAACACCGCGCATAACAACCCCAAAATTGGAACAGGGGTGTTATGATGAAGGTTGGCGACAAAAAAACCGCCTACCTGACACATAACTATAGAAGGGGTGGGTGGTGGGTGAGCTTTTTTTTTTTTTTTAAAGGAGATTACCACCTGCAACGACGATTGAGGAAGAATGCGATACGTTTTATCAAAGAGTATAGAACTGCAATAGGTCCGACTGCTCTTATTTTGTATGCAGGCAATGGAAGATTAAAAAGTACTGCAATGAAGGGGCGTGTCCTTCAAAAAATCGTAAAAGGCGTTCGTATCGAACGACTGCTACATTTTGAAACTCGGACATAAGTTCTATAGACGCGCAACGCGTTTTGTGTTTACTTGAAGGACACGCCCCTTCGTTGTACTTTTTGAAATAGGATTCCGTTCCAACGACAGTCAGACTTCTTGCAATTCTATGAGGTACTTTCGGACTAGTAGTCCACCAGAAATACGGATTTGAAGCACCAAAGTTGAACATAATTGCAACAAAACGGGTTTTTTTTTTATGAATATATATAGTTAAATTTTATATTTACAACATACAAAAAGTTTACCAAAATATACCCACGGAAAAGGTGATTTTTATAGCAAAGAAAACTGAACTATTTCACTGGGCTTATACGCCCTGCCAACGATGTGTGTGCTGTGCCTTGGTTACGAAGCGCTTTAATTTGATTTGCCGCTGACGCGTTTGATTGGTTAACATACCTTCAACAGTGTGCGCGTACTCCTTTACGCAACACGTACGTACGTACGCAAGTACGCAAGTTCGTACGTACGCCAGTGTGTGTGTCGACCATAGAGATATAATAACAATACTAGAGCGCTAACTGCAATGTATTCGATGTTCGAAATACGCAGAGCTGTGTGTGCGTACCATCCAAGATGGCTGCCATAGATTCAGCCAATCAAATTTCGCCTAAGCACTATCATTTTCAATGGCGCCCTCAATTTACACAGAAAGTTCAGTACAGCTAGTTACCGTATGTTTGAAACTCGAGCGTTGCGGTGTTTGGGGTGTCATGTACACGATTTTAATTTTGTATTATTTTTGAATAAGATGCTCTACTTTTTTGGCTACGATAGTTTAATAAATTTTTATAATCAATAATAATTATCATTAATGAATTAATAGTCAGTCAGAGGGCTTATTTATGGTAATAATTTGTATAGTTAGCCTGAAAGTGGCGCTTTCCTACGACAGCCTTCTTGGATGGTACACCTACACAACTCTGCATTTCTTCGCCATCTTGTCAGTACTCTAGTTGTTTAATAGCTCTATGGTGTCGACCCAGCTGAGACTCAGGAGTCGAACATGTGATCTTTCATCAATAGGCCCTATATAGGAATAGGCCTATTATTATATTTTCTTACCTAAAAACACCAATTAAAATTTTATAGCTAATACAATAAAAAAAATTTATTTGCAAATAGTGTATAATAATTGCTGATATTTTCAAAAGTATAATAATGACTGATAATTGATTTATTTGAAATAGGCCTACTATTCTACTCTCTTCATATAAAAAAAATGTTGGAAATCACGTAAATTTAGGATTCGATGCCGAATTACTGTATAATGCCTTGTCTTCTGGTGAATAGCATGGACGGGAGTGACAGGCGACACGTACCCCAAATATTTTAAGGGGGTGCTCCCCCTCACGTTTCGCCCGCAAGGTAAATTCTCTAAGGAAGTCAAGAATATACCTGGAAATTGTTGAATTGAACTGCATAAATGACCAGATTTTAACGAAAGACCATTTTACAGGCAGAGAACATCTTTTTTTTATAACAGATACCGGTGTTTTCTGTCCACAAACATCTGAATTAACTGTAATACACGACTCGAGTGCGTATGCCTTTATTATACAAGTAAGAGAAAAAGTGTGTAAAGATAAATTGGTTTTCGGCTCATTAAATAGGTAAAGTAGATAAATCGAAAACAATTATGTTTTATATTTCGATTCATATTAGATACAAGATACAAGATAGCTTTATTGTCAAATTAAAATATAGAATTAGTTTTTCTCATGGCAACAAAAGTACATAAACAACAAAGAAACATACGATCAATGTTGATTAATTTTACATCACATATACAGTATTAATTAGATCTTTATGGTTGCCGAATATCTGAAATTTGTTGACGCTTCATTTTGCCTGGTGATGTGATGATGATGATGAATTTTACTACTGTATACAAAAGTGTCTTTTCCCATCTAGGTACTATTTTATATTTCTTTTTTACCTCAATCCCAACAAAGTACGGCTGAAGTAGAGCTAAGAAAATGTATGATTACTGAACCTGTAGACAAAAATTTGAATATATTACTTTTTTTCCCAATATTTCGTGAAATTTTAAAAAGGCCCCCACCCCCTAAATCGGCTACTGCTATCTACTCAAGGATCGAATGTCTGGAGAAAGAAATCTTGCTTGTTCTTACTCAGTGTACCAGCTGATTATAACTCAAAGGAAATACCGATAGCCATGACTGAATTTTACTGAATGAACTTTAATATGGTTGGCAATTGGCAATGGTGGTGGGGGGGGGGGGGGAATAAAAAAATGGAAATTATAGATGGTTGGTGTCCAATATTTATAATTGACAAATAAAAAGGTTTAGGAACTGAAATTTCATTAATACTTATTCGGCATATTATTATGCATGCATGACATGCGGTTTAACTTTTATACAGTCATAATAAAATCTATTTATAATATACTATTAATTGATTAATTCTATGATCGGCAACCCATGGGTCGTGACCCAAGTTTGGGTCGTGAGTGAATTTTTGTGGGTCGTCTGATCGCATCTGGTTGTCCAAAAGATTATACAGAAAGTAATTAAATACTTTAAAAATCAGAAGATTCGAGTCAAAACATCGAAACAAAATATTTTAAAAATAAAATACGGTAATTTGATAAAATGTTGGCTATTGTCTTCAATTTGCGTGCCTGCATGCAGTGTACTATAGTCTCAGTCAGACCGCCGTTTGTTTAAAGTCCAATTAAAATGATGCTTTCTAAGTTGCTGATTATTGAAGTATTACATATGTTTAACTAATGAGTGGTACTAAAATATTCAATTTTTGATTTATAAATATTAAAAATGACGGTTTAAAATATTAGTATAAGCCCCGCCCACTGGAGATGTTATCGTATAGTTATGAAAGAGGTTCAGTTTGTGAAGTACTGATCTAAAAAAGGAAGCAAAGAAATGGAGCAGCTTTATTAATTTAAGCCACTAGTAAGCGAATTTGGAAAACAAAGAATTGAAGACCAGACATTGTTAGAAAAACAAATCGATTGGGCAACACTAACGAATTTTGAGCACTATACTAAATAGGCCTACTGTCCTACTCTAGGCCTGACGGACTAGGCCTAAGCAGAGTTACAGCACGAACACTCGTCAGCGTACGATGGTTAATATTATTAGTAATAATATACATTGTTTACGTCTAAATTAGCTTACAGTCTGTATAATTAAGCATATTTTGGAAAATTTTTACATTACTATGTAACGTGCGAAGCTGATATTTGATGTACACTTTTTTTTTCTTTTATAAAAACCAGTACAATTTTGCTCAGGCTCAGTGTTCTTATTTTTTGGCCGATTTCAGACTCAAAATGTTCTTATTTTGTTCTTACGTTACACACTTTTCAAACATAACAAATTATTACTGTACAGCAGTATCACTGTACTGGAATGTAGGTAGGTAAAAAGTGGTCCTGGAAAAAATGGTCCATGAAAAAAAGGCCAGAGAAAAAAATGCCCCAGTAAAAATGGCCCCAAATGACAGGTTGTACACCTACCGTACTGCATTATAGAGGGTATTACTTACCTACTGCACACAGTGTAGATATAATTTTTTTTTTTTTTTACAAAATTTTATTTATATTGACCTAAAAGTAAGTTACATTAGAACTAATTTATATTAATAATTTTCATTACAAAATTCATTTACCGTCAATATGAAATCAGCAGTAATGCATGGCCGGCGGAACCGGGCAAAAAATATATAATGTCTGGAGATTTTTGTATGATCGGAAATGCAAGAAAAGAAGGAGGAAAGAAGGAGGAGAAGGATGGGAAAGAGAATGTTTATCCAGTACCCGACCGAGTTACATTTTCTCGCAATTCACATTGGCGGATATGGGGAGGGGGTCATGGGTCCTGACCCCTCACTTGAGCAACAAAAAAAAGGGGAAAAGAAAAAGAATTATAGACCTACCTTTTCAGGACCCGTGAGCTGTTTTTTTTTTTTTTTTTTGTTATATTAAAAAAATTTATTACTTGCCTTGCTTGCACAGCCAAAACGTTCAAAAACAGCAAAGAAAAGGAGTACTCACAGTAATTGGGAAAAGA